GTGCTGTGTATCAGTTTGCTTAGGACCGCTATGAGAAATTACATCTATGTATTTCCTCTTACTATTTACATTGGGAATGTTGTGTAAAGGAATTTTATGATTACGAAATAGGTATGTGGGGGGAAGGGATTGTTAGTAATGCGAACTAAAGTTCCATTGCTAGCAATATACTTTGTCAGATCGATCTCCCCTTGTTCCCCCCTCTGGAAACCATCGTCATCATATCAGCCTTTAATTATTCATTGCTGAACAAAAGCCTCCTCTTTGGAGCGTTTAGCCAATAGTTGCCACCCTTGGCAGGCGGATTATCAACCACAGTTAGGCTTTAGAGATGTTTTAAGAAGGACGCTGTTGCCCATCCCTCTTCCTCGCTTAGTTGCCTCTTACGACATCCACGAGAAATGAGGGGAATTTTATTGAATCGTGAAATGTACATTTGTACTTCACGTTGCGATTGTGAAATATAAAATTATAATTATAATTCTTGTAATTGTTTATATTTATAATATGTTTACTATTGTAATCTTTTGGAGGAAACAATAAAAAGTATCTATCTATCTAGTCTCTTGTATCTAATGATACATGTATTATATTTACCAGAATGTAAATATTGCACGAGTTCTTCTCTTCAAACATACTCATCGCATCGGATCGCAATCTTACTAATATTATAAATGTGAAAGTTAAAAACGTGGATGTTTGTTATTCAATCACGCTTAAACGGCTGAACGGATGTGAATGATTTGGCACATGAGTATTTTATATCGTAACATTACACTGTAAGAGGGAAAGTGATTGTTCGTAACGGGTCCTAACAGCCTCATTGCTAGTAACGTACCCTATCAGGTCTACCTCCACGCGATTCCCCCCTGGAAACCATCGTGGTTAATTCTTGTTGAATTCTTCACGATTGTCCAATTGACCTGTCTTCATCCTCCTCTATCATCTAACTGGTGCCCCGCTAGGGGGGAAAGGGATTGTTAGTAATGGCGACTAAGAATCCCATTGCTAACAATATACCCAACCAGGTCGACCTCCTCGCGGTTCCCCCTGAAAACTATCATGGTTAATTCCTGGTGAATTTATCATGATGGGCTAACTGGCCTGTTTTCATTCTCATCTATCACCCTTCACTGGTCCTCTGCCGTTAGCGCAAGCGGGGTTACCATTCCATTTTCATCCAACAAAAAAAAAACTGATGCTCCGCCAGCTTATACCGATAGCGTGGGTGGGGTTACTATTTCATTCTCACCCAATACAAAAAAAATACACTGTAACGCTTTTATGTAACGGCCTAATTCATACCATATCAGTCATTAATTGTCCACTGCCGAATTTAAGCCTCTCCCATAATTGGTAGAGTTTTGCCAGTGGTTGTCACGCTTGGCAGACGGGTTGAAACCGCAGTTAGGTCCTTGATGATGTTTTAAGAAGGACGCTGCTGCCCAATCTTTGAACATAATATCCCTTAGTCGCCTCATACGACACCCACAGGAAGGGGTGGCATATTCTATGCCGAGGTGGCGATACGGTGAACAGCCGAATAAGGAGGTGGAGTGTATATAAATAAGCATTACTGTAAAGGTACCTTGTGTACACTACTATATATTATTTTCTAAAAATGGACCTCTTGAAAAACTGCATTGTTGATTTGATTCCGTGGAATCGTTTAATTGTAGACCTTTGGTGTCCTATTTGTGTGTAAATTAGAAAAAGTATATTTTACATACTAATTCACGTGGGCAGAGCTCCAGGAAAGAGTTTTATAGGATGTGGAATATCAAACAACCGCCTGATAGAAATTAGTCTATTTGTCTATAGCTAAAACAGCGGCCATGCCTTCGTACGCTGAATGCGCTGTGACGCCATTGTACCGCCATGCGATGCCGTTTCTTTAGTTTAATATATTAAAACTTCCCACGCAAGAGTCCCTTTCAAATTGAAACAACCGTGCTATTTCTCGGCTGAATTCTTAGGTGAGTTGGAGGACTTTATACAAACGCTCCCTCTGTACGTATTCAACACACGTTCCTATTGTGACAATTTTCTTCGAAATAATGAATTCCATTGTGATCGTATAGGTAAGTAAACTTCAAAGTAATTTCTTTTGTCTGCGTTTAAATTTAGAACTGAATTCTTACCCCTAATTGTACCACGCCCATTGTATATCTCCTTCATTATTATTATTTGGTAATTACATAAATACATTAAGATATTTTTGAAGTTGGCAATAAAGAGTATTTATTATTATTATTATTTATGTAATGAATATTTGAAATTGAGATGAATATTTATTTGCCAAAACACTTTTACATGGATGATTAACTCTACGACTTACACACTAGGCATGCAAAAGCCTGTATCGTGTAAATTAGAAATACGGTTTAACCATGGTGGTATACCAAATGCTCGGTTGAGATATAAAGATACACACATGCATACATTATATTTATTATAATATAATATATACTGGCAGTTTTTTCTTACTTATCTGATGATAGTTATTATATAAACTGCTTTTCTATTTCCTATACCTTGGGATGGCAGTATGTTCAGTGATATATAAATATATTTATTTATTAATATTTACCAATTAAGGGAGACTGACAGTTTCCCAATTTTCTCCCTTAACAATTACAATATATACAAACATTTAATTATAAGACACTCTCTAAATAATTTATTGCCATTCTGCGAAATTCGACAAGTTTACAAGTAAATATATCCAAGTCCGGATTTTGGCTCAGTTGTTGATTGAGCAGAGTCAGTGCTAGTGGAATATGAAATTATTATTCACGACATTAATTTTACTTATAAATTAAATAAAAATAAATATAAATAATTTATAATAAATTTAAGTAATTATGTTTATTGTAGGAAGGATAGCTTATTTACTTTGTTTTCCTTTAGCATTGAAACACCACATCTTTGGGCGAATAGCCTCCCTCGAGACTCTTATTTTTTTATAGATAATCTGAACTTTATAAAAGGTTATGATGTATCTAAGAATATGCGTCATCACTTCATTTTTTAAATTTTTGAACTGTCTAAAAAAGTACAATGAACTATAATGAAAATTTGAAATATATACTATAAATTTGTTTAAAATATAAATATAATCCACTAAAGTACTCGAATATTAAACACCTTGTTCGACTTAGTATTAGTAAGTTAATATTGTCTCTTCTAAAAGCGGATATTCTATTTCATATAATATGATGGATTGATATAATGACTACGATGTACTAGTGACCTGCCTTGGCTTCGCACGGATATTTTTTTTAATAAAATATAAGCCCATGTTGCTCGATGACAAAGTATCTTTTATGCAACTTAGAATGACATACAAGCTGACGACCCATCTAATGGAAAGTGGTAACCGTCGCCTATAGACATGAGCAGTACTATGGACATAACAGAGTATACTGTTTCGCCCATAATAACCCCCATGCGTTGCCATTCTTGAGAACTCAGGTATTATTCCTCTGTATTCCACCCTTCAAACCGAAATACAGCCATGCAAACACAAGTGCTTCACGGTTAAAACACGAATGGTATGTAGGGGCTTTCAGTAGGTGAAAGAATTTAAAATTTTGTTTAAGTATTTTTTTATATATATTACAAATAAATAATTAAATTTTCCTCTTTATAATGTTAGCTTAGATTGAGTATTAGACATTTTATGATAACCTATTTGTTATAATGTTAGTTTTTACTCGCTATTTTGTATGTGTGGATTTTCAAAAGTAGGAAATCTAATTAAAAAGACCGCCTCTAGATGGCGTATCAAGTTAAACCATACACTAATTTATAAGTTAGACATTCAAGAGTACAAATGTGAGAACTGCATCCAATTTGGTTTAGTAGTTTCTACGTGATCCCCGAACAAACATACTCGTACAGGCAGATTGACACAAAATTTCTAAAAATTATATTTTTTGGGTTATCAAGACCCGTTAAATTATTTTTCTAAAATATAACGTAATGTACTGATATCGTTTTGTTACAGTTTTATTATATTAATAAGATTTATTTTATAATTTACTTTTATATGCCTACACATCTGTTGTTCATATTAATCTATTTGGTGTTTTTCCAGCTGTGAGTTTAATTACATTTTAATGTGAAACAATTAAGCCGAGCGAGTCGTAATAACACGAGTTTCAGATGACACGCATTTGTATGTGTATCTGTGTTGGACGATCTCGTGTTCATATTAGTGCACTAATAAATCGTTCAGCCATTTACTGTCACGTTTAGGAGAGAGATCTTATATCATGCTCAAGTGCTTAATGTTATGTAATACTTCTATGGTATATAATTAAGTATTATACACATACATATATATGTGTTATCCATGTGGTCCTAGTATAGAGTAGACCTCCCGTTCCTTTCCTGTGGGTGTCGTAAGAAGCGACAAAAGAGCCTTAATGTTAGAGGGATCAGCAGCAGCGTCCCTCTTAAAACATTTCTCCCTCTTAAAAGTCTAACTGCGGTTGCTAACCCGTCTGCCAAGCATGGCAACTGCTGGCAAAAAAGAAGGAGGCTATGTTCAGCAGTGGATAGTTGACGGCTGAAAAATACATATATGTATAAAAATAATGTCTTAACGTATTTAGCATTAATATGAATCTAATATGAATCTAATATGAGTAGTTCTATAGGCGACGGTTACCACTTTCCATCACGTGGCCCGTCAGCTTGTTTGCTATTCTAAGCTGTTTGAAAAAAAAACCAATGTGTTTTTCCAATGCTAACCTAAATATTTTTTTTTTTTCAGTATATTTTGAATTCTGTAATAAACCTTGGAAAATATTTTTTTTAACTTACAAAAAAATCGGTTCAGTGGTTTAATTTTTAAAACAAAATAATTGGTTTTTCCACAATAGAAGTTCCTTTTTTTGTAGACCATATGTTTTTATGTGCCGGTCTGAATATTACAGGTGTTTTATATGTATGTATACATTTATGACTTATTTGTTTTGTGCTGTTTGTTTCAGGTAATTTCCTATGATGACGCTACATTGCAGTTGTGATGAACGTTTTACGTTTCACGATGAATGATCTACGTTTACATTGGTTTGTTATTTTGCCTGTATATTTTTACTTAGTTTTCCAACATTGTAGGGACTCCGTCCACGTGAATTTAGAACAGATCCGTTTCTTAAATTAGCTAAACGGAGAATAGAACCTGTTAAGTTTATCTAAACGATAATAGAGCCAAGTGCTGTAACATGGTGGTGGTAAATTCAAGGTCAACGTCAATTACAATTTCCCACATTTAATGGTCAATCGATCTTTCCATCCGTCGAATGTCGGTTCGACGATCCGTGGTCATCATAATGCCACTTCTGCTTTCTGAACCATCGTATTACACTTTAGTTCTTCAGAATCGCAACTAGAATTCGAAATGAGGATATTCTAGTTTCGGATTCTGTCGAAGTCACCACTATAATCCAAAACGTATTGTAGGATCTGGGAAATTACGCTATGTATAAATAAACACAATGTCAATACTATTATTTTACTACGTCGTGATTTGGCCGTGTGGTACCGGCATAGAATTCGCCTCTAACAACACCCTTCCTTTCCCGTGGGTGTTGTTAGAGGTGATTAAGGAAACCTAATGATCGAGCGATGGGTCAACTTGATAATACTGTTAAGGATATTCGTAAGTACGGTTTACTTAATATATAAAACCAGGAAGACGAAGGACTATATATCTGGGACTACACATACATTCCTTCACACTGCTAGAAGAAAATTGAAAGAAGATATAAAAAAAAAAATTAAGTAATATATAAGACTACTCAATGTAGTAGTATGCAGAGACTACAGGACATGGCACATGCAAATAAAATAAATAATTGTACATTATGACATAGTATGCATGGCCAATTTTGGATAAGATCGAACGTCTTAATCCTTGAGACATGTGTGTTCTGAGTTTTGCTAATATTGGTTTAATGTGAAGTCAAAGAAAATTAAAACTTTACTTAGATAGATGCTCTTTATATTACTTTACTCTTTATCCACTTTTTACCTACGTAAATTAAATTTCCAAACGGTTTCACAACAGTCACCTTCATATAAAAGGAGACCAAAATCAGCCCGCAATGACAAACCTAACCCGATCCCAGCTCCGAATTAGCGTGTCCAACTGAATGCCAAATGAAGTAAACATTAGTACTCAGCTCACATAAGAATTACGACCTACTGGAAACATTATGTTAGGGCTGTCGCCATACTTAAAAACAATTTTGAGATAATTTGTTTGAACCTTTTTCAGTCGACTCAGAAGAGGCTTTTAATTTAACTTATTTTCTTGTGGGATGTCTTCGCTTCTTCTGAATACAGTATAATGATTTTTTTTTATTAAAAAAGTGTAAGTATTCCCAGGAAATTGCTCCATACATCTGAAAGCTTTGATGCCTTAAACAGATATGTAGACGAAAGGTTTGAAATTTTTAAACATCTATTTATAAGGTATTGGCGACCGGCCGATGCAAACTCTTTAGACGTTATTATACTTTTTTATATACATTTACTTTTAGAATATTCTTATTATTTGTAATTTCAATTTTATATTTTTTGACACATATTATTGTTTCTTGCTCGCTGTTCAATAGATATATTTCGCTACTAAATTCCGTGTCTACATCATTTCATCACCTCATCACAGTCTACCGTTTCGTAATATAAGGGTTTCAAAAGAATAAAATTCTAATACTAATTTTATATTGGCATATTAAATATGTATAGATATAAATATTCTGTAAAATCGTTTCTGTTTTATGTCTGTATGCAGACTGTTTCCTTCCTTTGTATAATAATATTAGTCGTAATATCCTTTGATTTTCATTTCTGCAGAACGCAAAGGAAACATGTTCGACAGAATTATTTTACGACCCACGCAAATCTTGTACATACTTCCAGAAGATTCCCGGATGTTCCTTGTATCTGAATCGTTGGAAGTGTTTGCGCTCCCAGGAAATTAATATCACTTATTTTTTATTAGAATATTAATCTTGAGGGTAGGTAGAGAATAGTATCAAGGTTTTATTCTGAATATCTATATAATATGTAAGTCGCTAAAGACCTGCGTAGACAAACAGTTATTCTTGTAAAATATGTCCAACAATAAATAGATAATGGCTGAAATGGTGATGTAAATCGCTAAATTTGTTTAGATGTTGCTTCTAAATGTTTCCGTTATTAGTTTAATCTATGATACGATAAAAGGATTTTAACTCTCGGCTCTACCTACACTGTTAAGTCAACCGATCCAAATAACAATGTAAATAAGATTACTTTCTACTATGTATAGTTGAACGATATAAATTACATGGTAGCAACTCAAATATTTGGCGCTCAATCCTCGTTAATTACCGCACTAGTGAAATGAACTTAAATTCAAACATTGGGGGACAGATATATGATTCATGTCATGTGGGCCGTAATATAAAAGCGTGAGGATATTTTAATGTCTTGACTTTCTTCAGGACTCTTACGGTAAATAAATGCGTCAAGAAGATAGGTTATGGAGAAACTATGTCTATTTTTTTTGGTAATGGGATTGCAGTAACTCTAATTCAGCTCAGCTTTAACTCAGCCTGCGCTATTGGTATACACTGTCAGGGTACAAGTGAAAGATGACGATTGGTGAGATCGAAGTCAGGTCATTTGGTCCATTGTGATATATTCACTATTAATAAACCATAATGATTTTCAAGGAGGCGGGAAGGGCTAACGGTGATCTACCCGACAGAGGGTGTATTGCAAACTATAACCTCACTAGTTTCCTTTCCCGCGAACTATGCTATCAGATCATTGTATACTTAGAATAAAGGATAAAGGAAAAAAGGAGAAAAAAATAAAGGAAAGGATAAAGGAAAAAAAGGAGCGTTGACCATGTAGTACTCGTACAAACTGTTCTGGATCTGTCTGAACAGACGAGGCAGAGAACGTCTAATAATGATATTTAAACGTTATGAGAGACTAGAAGAAATCTCAATTTCCTGAATCACCAAGTCAAGCCATGAAAACTGAGAAGATCCGTCAACAAATACAGTTGTTTGCAACAAATACAGTTGTTGTATAGTTGCTTGAAAACAGAAAATCGAGTGTAGACGACATTTGTATACAAAGTGAAACTAGATAAATTCTAACTGCCAGCTGCACAAATGTTTGACGTTCAAAATATATCACCGGTTTCATCACACTGCTGGTGTGAATCCAAGTGTATAAATATTGGGCGATGGATTACAAATAATGCCTATCAGTCATCTCGTTGGGTCGTAAAAGCGTGAGAGCCTTTGATTCCTTTCCCCACTTGTTCTTTATGACACTCATGGTAGAACTCTTAATGATTAGATACGGCGCAGATGAAACACAGTCTTATGCGCTTTTTATCTATCAAAATATGTAAACAGGAACATTGTATTCATTAAGAATAAATGTTTGTTTAAGTTGCGTTTTCTTACAGACATATGTATTCTAGCATCTAAATTCTATATCAATATGATAACAGCCAAATTGTGCGTCGCAGATTTCTTCAGATTCATCGTCTATGCAAGCCTCTATAATTACATCAAATGGTGTACAGAGTAGTCGGATAGTGCCAATATCAAGAATAAATGTTTAAGTCGCGTATTCTCACATATATATGTATTTTAGCATCTAAATCAAAGTATCGTTAATAAGGGCAAATTTGCATCGCAGATTTTTCATCGTCTATGCAGGCCTTACCACTTTCTCTGTACAGAAAAAGAAAATCCTCTCAGTAGGCCTCATCTCCTTTACAGTACATGACAGCCCTGCTTGCACCTAATTCCTAGTTGGACGGCATTTCCGTTCAATTCCATAGCAACAAGTGACGGATTTCACTTTCGCGTTCGACGGGGTCGCCGACCCGCCGTTTACCCGCAAAACACGAGTCGATTGCGGTCAAAAAAAACGTTTCGCAATCTGTATTACCAGGGATTAGAGACCAAAATCGCAGTCCCTGGTGCTGAATACTAATTCGGTCACGAAGGTCCGATTTTACCTATTAGTTCAGCCGGCCGATGGCAGATAAGTACGGTTAGGGTTGTCGATTCAACGAGTTTCGATTATTAGGATTGTTTTGTCGTTAAGTTTATGTAATTGTATTTGTTTTGACTGTTATTATTGCGTGTTGAGGGTCGCCGAACTTCTTATAGCAAAATACAATAGAACAATTTATTATTGTTCTTGAACTTCTTAATGAAATGTGAACATAAATTTTTGGTCAAAATATCATAATTGAAAATTTAAAAAAATCACGCAGATTGACCCAGAAATCTCGGATTAATTGGCGTACGCACGAACAAAATGACCTTATTTTTTCGTAGTTGGTGAAAATGTGTTTACCCAATATAATTGCCTAAATATCACGGTAGTAAGTACATTGTAAACATTTATTAAAGAACATGTAATGTAGAGGCAATTTAAAAGATAAACTTATACGCAATGCTCGCAGTACACTAACGGTGGTGTTCTGAAATAAAATTCTTTCATGAGTAATGTATTGCGATAAAGGTTTGTTTATATGTATGAACATTTTTGAAGCGTGCATACGAGATTTTTAGTGTGCAAACGTACTTTGATATTTCTCATTTTATAATATGTACAATTCTTAAAACACACATTGTATACGACTTGGAGATTGTTTTACTAGGAATAGTTTATTTTTTACTATGTTTATATGACGACAATGTTATTTCAGAAGTTTGTTTTAATAAACTTAATAATAAGCATTTTAGAATAGTAATTTTTTTTTATAAACTACCGCCCAGTTTGGAATGTAAATTCAGCTGAGAAGAATGGGCAAGAAATACTGCTGTTGCAAATTTTTTAAAATACAACTTAAGTTTACAACAAAAGAATTATGAATGGATAAAATGACTGCTACAAACGTCGTATTTATAATTAAAAAGAAAATAAAAAGCTACTAAGCTACAATCAATCACAGTATTCTAGAACAGACCAGTCTTACAAGAAGCACACGTTCACGAGTATGACGAATAATAACAATAACTGAGGACGTTTTATAAATGATT